TCCGCTGCTCCGCGCCCGGCCGCGGACAGGAGCGCGCGCATTCGGACGGCAGCGCTGACCAGGGATCTCATCTGGCAAATTCCCTCCGTGGCCAGTAAGATCCAAAGAGATTTCCCCTGAACTCAAGGTTCCCAATATGCCTGTGCCAGTGGACCTGACAAGCCTGGACTCGTGTGTATAACCTTCACTCAAATGGTTTCCGTTTGCAGACTTGAAACTTCGGAGAGTTAAGGAGCGGGAAACTACACATGAGCTCTTTAACCCACTGCAAAGGAGAGAAAGTGAACCCAATCCTTGTCCAACATGCTGGGAGCTCACTGCGCCCCAGATATTTAAGAGTAAACTGAGTTTAGATTAAAAAAACCCACATGCCCACCACTGGCCCTGATCCCAGAAGAAAAATATCACTGCTTTGAGAATTAAGTGAATCTGAAACTGTGACCCCTTGATTCTTAAAAAGGCCAATACATGTGAACAATCTCAGCGCAAGCTCTGAATGGGTTCCGCTGTGAAATCAGGGTTTGCTAAACAAGGCAAGTAGCAGGTATAAAGACAGCCCCCTGCAATGCCACTTTATGCAATGTTTTCTAATCCGCTTATCTAACAATGTAGGCACTGAACACTGAAAATCACACACTCAGCATGCATCTGCAGCACACCACATCAGTATGCTTTCCAAGCCTGGCTACGCTGCCTCTTCCACAGGGACGGGACTTCTTTCCAGCATCTACCCATGGTTCAGGTCACTGCATTCCAATGCACAGGTCTCCGGACATCCCAGTTAGCTGTGGGTTAAGTTTTTAATCGAGCCCCTGCGAGCCGCCCAGTTCAAATGTATGACTCAAAACCTCAGCGCCCACACGCATGGGAAATAAATCCCCAAGCCCCCTTCTCTAGGTCTGCAGCATTATGCAGATGAGACGAAGTCGGTTTTACTTTCAGCTAAAGGAGTGGCTTCGCTATCTGTTCGTGAAGTTCTGCTGCTCCATTTTTTTTGAAAGAAAGCATCAAAGCAAAACTTGCATTCAAATCATTGGGAGGTTGCGCTCTCAGGAGTGACAAGGCGACATCGCCCTGGGAGCAGGGAGCAGCCGACATGCCCAAACTCACTCACAGAGCAACGACAGCAGCTTTTCTAGGTTAGACACTGGGACACTTCAAGTCTGAAGCGCAGCCACGCACCAACACCTGCACCTTGTGAATTTTTCCGTGAAAATTTTACTGACCTTTGTAAAAAATCAAGCGCTGCTTTCTGATAGAGCTGCAAAATATAACACTTCCCAAAACATTCAGCATCTCACATTCATGCACAAGCAATCGGAGTCCTGGTACAAGACACTAGCGCTGGACTGCCTGCTACAAGCAGCTGGTATTTATGGAGCAACACTTCGAACAGCCACAGCTGGTTGCACAGGATTTTCCTGGAAGAGATGACTCAAACTAGCTCAAAGACTAAGCAGAGGCAACCGATTTTCTAAAACTCTTGCAGAGATGAACTGGTCAGTACGACAAAGGGCTGGAAGGTGGGCTGGCTGCGAGGATCATTGTCTGTGGCTTCCTCGCCACAGAGGCCACCATGCCCGTTCTTCGGGAGCATCATCTCAAAGGACCAGTGGCAGAGAGACAACTGCAAAGGAACGATAGCTAACCGTAGAGCTGGGCAGGCTCGCTTTGACCCCGGGGGATCGTGTAGCTCCCATGTACAGAACGCCATTGCCAGCCGCAGTTCCTTCTGCTACGTAACCAGAACCTGCTTCGGCTACGCAAGCAGCTACCCTAAAACTCAGCGGCTGGAGAGCCCGGTCACAAAGATGCTGGCAGCGTTCTGTTTTCTGGAAATGCTTCTGCAAGACAAACGTTTACAGTTCACATTTAGCCACTAGTTACAAGCTGGTACACGCATCCAGCATAGACGGCAGCAATCTGCAGCATCACGTGTGAGTGGATTTACCCTTTCTGGACACCAAAAAGCCAGGAAGTGCAAGCACGGTGCCTCAGCATGCGCGGCCCAGGGAAATTCCCATGTTTTCATTGAGGTAGCAGACGAAATCTGAAAGAGACATCTGTGCACCCCATGCCCTTCAGAGAGGCTGATAAACACACACGTTCACACACAGTATAGGTGCAGAGAGACTACCACCTCGTACACTGGAGCGTATTTAGTCGCTGTGGAAATTAAGAGAAAAACCTCAATGTGTTTAGAATTACTTCTTCCTGTATACATGGACTGAAAAAAAAAATTCTAATCTGTTGGACTACTTTTAAAAATAGTTTTAATACTGAGATCATTCTGTACATAAGTAACAACAAGTAGTATCACCAATGCCAACTTCATGGATTTTGGGGAGCCCTCTAACCAGGCACATAAATACACAGATGCCAGGGAAGACTTCTCCGATTTATTCTTTGCCAGACCATTATACCTGTTAGATGAGGAATTTATACCTCCCTGCAAAAACAGGGAGCTGAAGCAGTGCAAGGCAAATAGCTGGAGGAACATTCCAGAGAGATTTTGTGTTGTGGGAGCCAGGCAAAACAAAGCGCCAGCTAGTACATACCACTGCTCAGCAAAACAAGAGAACAAGTGCAATGGTCCACGGGAATGAAAGGGACAAGGAAAAAAAATCAGGAGGATTAGCAAAACCTGAGGCAGGCAACCCACGGACACACTCCTGATTCCACTCAAGTCTTTTCTCCTTGCTGAAGTCGCATTACGCTTTTGCCTCAGAAGACATCCCATTCTTGCTCGGGAGCAAGACCAGGCGGTGATGTATTTTCTCCGCTCAACAATCAAGCACAGCAATCACGCACATCTACATTCCTCGAGCTTCTGGAGCCCCTGAGAAAGCAAGCGCTTGCGTGAGGCAGCCACCATCCTCCTCCTCCCACCGCACGGGAACTCTCGCACAGCTGATCCGAGGAGCTCAGCCGCACTCAGCAAGTGAGACTTTCAGCATGCCGTAATGCAGCAACGAGACCGGCCTCACATTTGGTCGCAGCATCTGTACACACCGACAGCATCAAGAGAGCTCAAACCAGCTCCCACTCCTGTCACGGAGCCAGGGTAGAGACCTGCACCAACCACACCTGAAGACTGTTTCAGCAACAAAGATCTCATAACTCATTTTACGATGTGATGTGACAAATGTAATTGTAAGAGGGAAAGGGGCTGAAGATTATCGCCATGATGTGGCAGTTACCTACGCTGCCAGCGCGCACCACCCGGCTCCAGAGAGCCTCCTGCAAGGGCTCCCCAGCCCCACCGCGCTACAGCACGCCTTCGCCAGCAACGGCGCTCCTCGCAGCCCGAGCTACTCCTGCATGCTGCCTGGTGAAGCATCAGCTCCAGACAATAAGTATCATCATAATGTATGAGCAGCCATGTAATAGGAATTACACGCCCCTTTTTCTCCCCGGGGGTTCGCACTTCTCTGATGTTCCACTATTCCCCACTGGCACTGACCTTCCAGGTTCCTCTTCCTTCCAGCAAGGTGAAATAGCTCATGGCAGCATCAGCTGCCTAAAACGCCTAAGACAGATAGCTTCAAACAAATAATCCGTCAATAAACATTCAAAGCTATCCTGGAACGCCTCAAAATTTATTGCAGTGACTGTACAAAGTGAGGTAATATCAGGCAGCTGGAACCCAAATCTATTGTTCTGATTAAAAAAGTGTCCTTGACAATATACATATATTATGAATTGTGAAACCTGCTGACTCCAGTGACATATAAAGGACGTACAAAAGAAAACCGGCTGGTGATTTGGGATTAAAAAAAAATCGTTGACATTTTCCTGGTTGTTGCGAGTCGCGCTGCAGAGCAGGGCGGGCAGGGCTTGCGGGACAGCACCAGCTTCCTGAGGAGCGTGGCCACGCAGAGCCAGACACCGACAGTGAAACGCTGCTGTCGCACCAGCTACCCGCATCTGATCAGCACGGACGAGTAACTGGGTTAAGGATTGTGTTAAACTCACCCTTTGGCTGAAAATCTTTGGAACTTGAAGTTCCTCTGCCTCAGGGAGCCTGAACAGAATCGATTTACACCAACCTCAGTGAACAGCGAAGAAGGTGTTAGACAGCCTGGATGAAGCCTTCCCAGAACTTCTGAAATTAAATGTCAAAGCATCCTCAAGCGGAAGCGTACGCGCGTTTCCACTGCAAACACGCGTGGAAACAAACCTTCACAATTCTTCCTATTTGCCGGGGAAACCGTGGAAAACTGCCCAGAAAGTTACAGTACAAAGTACACGAATGTCAACGTGGACTTTCCAAAAGCTTGTTCCACAGGCTCTCCATTGATCTGTTTGCTTTCAAAACATAAATTTCCTCCCGTTGAACTGCACTAAATGCTATTTAGTAGCTAATTAACTTTCTGTGCTGAAAACCTCCTGTAATTGCACTT